TCATGCGACATGTGCATCTGTGCATTTATGAATGATGACTTACATTGATTTTACAGCATCATACTGTTAGAGCACCACAGGCCATGTAAACAGGGTTCTCATGCGTCTGAAGAAACTTCTGTCTTCATGCGATTTTGTGAAACAGAGGACCGTGTAGAAATATTATTATTATTATTATATGGCATACGCTGCAACCGCTCGGCTCATTGAAACTAGTTCTAACAAAGAATTTTATACTTTAATAACTTCAGACGTATTAGTAAATCAACTCCAGTAATGTTCCTCCAAAAGGGACAAATATCAAAGTGATTCCCTGGTTGCTGCACCTCAAGAGCACACTTCAACTCCGAGTATGTCAAGTGGTGATGTTAAAAAGTGTGTGTGTGTGTACCTCACTGGTCAATGTCAACATCTGAAAGTGGACAAATGGACAAAGTAACAAGTAAAGAGACCAAGCCACCATGTAAAAAAAGAAAAGGCACAAAAAAAAAAAATCTCACGGTTAAATTTAGAAAAAGATCTTCTGACCACCAGTGGCAGTTTCCCCTTTTTTCTTTTTTGTCTCTGCATGACAGGAGATCATACTGTGAAACTGAGCTGGTCTGCTGCTTATGCAAATTCGTCACAGGCCCACTCTCTCTGCACACTTTTACTGTAAGAGAGTTTTACATATTAACCCACGCTTCGATGCTTTTTCACTTTTTTTTTTTGAGATTTCTGTGTCAGGGGTAATTCAACAACAAAATCCGGCTCCACGTTCAAAAGAGGTGAAAAAAAACAAAAAACGGTTCAACTACTTGAAACTGCCTGTAGAGATAAAAACAGGAAGGTTGTTCAGCAGCTCTGTGAGCTTTTTACTGATAAAAAAGAAAAAAAAAAGAGCAAAAGCAGTACGTAGACACAGAGACAAATCTCATGAGTGAAGATACATTTCATGAAACGTCGAATGGATCCGACTTGGTGGAGTTTTTGCTTCACTACTCAAGAAACTTTGCAACTCAGCGCACTGAACGTCGGTGTGTGTGACTCAAGTCTGCAGATTAGAGGGCAGCCCGGTGTGGTCGACCAGCTGAGTGAGTCACGGTGACACGGAGCTTCTTGCTGACTGTTAAGAAACACGATTACAACACATCTCGATCACAGGCTTCCTTTCATCTAGTAAATGTAATTTACTGTGTTGTTACAGAGCATTGTTATGAATGAAAGCCGGAGCATCTGAAGATGGCGATGGCTAACACGTGGGGGGAGAAACAACGATCGATCACAGTCAACCAAAATAAAAGAATCATGTCACACAAAGACAAGCAAAACAACAAAAAGAAATCAATTATCAAGACGGGGCGAAAGATTTAGCATCCGCACGCGGAGCCTCCTAAAATAAAATGCCGGTCATGGAGGGAAAGTCTTTCTACGACATTTAACATCATTTTCATCCTTCATACTCATCGCTGGACTAAACTGGCACATCCTGTTTGCACTCGCTCCTCTTCATGGGTATTTTAACAAGTGATGAAGTCAGCATGCGCATTCAGGACGATTAAAGACTTTGACACAACGGGATTTTCATGTCCCCAAAACAACCTTTTGATCCCCTCAGCTGCAGACCATTAGATAAACACTTTATTTTTTATATATCGATATCGATATCGATAGAGATAGATAGATATAGATATATAGATAGATATAGATAGATAGATATAATATATAGATATAATATATAGATATAGATATATAATATATAGATATAATAGATAGATATACATACAATATATAGATAGATAGATATACATACATACAAATATATATAACAGACAGACAGACAGACAGACAGACAGACAGACAGATATATAACACACACACAAAAAAAAAAAAAGGTCTTTCATAAAACGAGGAGGGGAAACTGCTGTGTGGCGTTACGCCAGAGCTGCTCGGGCTTTTGGTGAGTCACTCAAACTGCAACCGACTGCACCGCTGGTGCCGATCATACTTGCTCCGTGCATAGCAGAGATGTCTACAGTACCAAACCACACTGGCTTCCTCTCAGCGCCGTACACTGAACGCACTGCTGACAGCCTCTCCAAAAAGGGCCCACATACCTCCAAGAGGTCGTGACACTGAGTGAAAGCAGAAGTCGACCTTCCTGTAGCGACACACGGCCACCGTCGCTGAACACGACGAGAGGCTAAAAGGATGCTCCGCTCACGGGGCTCGCTCTGTCATGAGAAGGCCCCTTTGTCCTCAGAGCCGTTTAGTATTAGTACCGTGAGACCGGTGATGGAAGCCTCCGAGAACACACGCCACCTCAAAAAAGTGTTGTTTGAGACGCACCACCGCTCCGAACGCTCGTGCACGGCGTCGGTCAGAGGCGACGCGTACGCGGAATATAAACCGGAACGGCTCCGAAATTTTTGCCAATTGAATTGGGAGAGGAATTTAGTTTGGTATTATTAATGTTTAAACGGTGGTTGTGTAACCGAATGGCTCGGGGAAAGAAAAAAAGCAAGAGTGCAAAGAGCAAAGAGAGAGTGAGCGACAGAGACCAACCTGGTGTTGCTCTACGGAATAATTATTTATTTATTGCAACTAATGCACGAGACATTTTGTAGAAAATGTAATGTTTAGCAGCCGCAAAAGGTATACACACACACAGCTGAAAGCAGGCCAAACAATAGCATACTTTAGTGTATTGGTGGCAGAATCTTCAGTACTTTTAAACTTAATAATTAATCACAGTTAATAGCAAAAAACGCAGTTTCTCACTATATAGAAAAAGAAAAGTTGCTGCAAATTTACCATTTTGTGCCTCAACAAAAAAAAACAAAAAATCCAGCGATATTGTGGTGGGCCATGAGAGCCGCTGTATTTGTGTTAAATATGGTGAAGCTCAGGTCAACCTGTGCCCGAGTAGGTTTTAGGGAATGACGGGAACTTGTTCCATCCTGTTTCTCTTAAGTTAACCTGAGGGGGGGTATGAGTAATGTGAGGAGGAACAAAAACAGGATAAAAGAAGATGAAAGAAATGGGAGGAGGAGGGGGGATGTTATCTGACAAACATGGGGCCAATTCATTCCATCTCAAAAAGTGAACCAGGTCCTGTGGGCAGAGCGGCCAAAGACTGTGTTCAGAAGAAATGTGGACAGCGCTGGAGGCAACAGTCATGCAGGCTCTCCTTCCCCATTTCAGACCCAGTCTGTGTCCAGAAATAACCCGACAGGAGTTTGTGTAGCTCTCATGGTCGAGCACTCACAGTGTGTGTCACGCTCCAGACGGGTGAAATACATGATGGCGGGATATTGTCACGAATTGACACTTCGTAGCGTTAACTGTACCCGTTCATATAGTCGGTCGGGTCTACGTGAAGTACTGGGAGACAGAAAAGAGTCGAGAAGAAAAGACGTGTCTTTGTCTGTAATAACTGAATGAATGACGTCACATTGATGAGTGGAGTTTTTGCTGAACCTAAAAGTAGAGCTTCATACGTCGGACAGTCCTGAATCCAAAGAGTTTGAGCGATTCGTTTTTATTCGAAGTCTGCAACTAACATTTACTTTCTCCATTAATCCGGAGACTATTTTCTTGATTAATCTCTTAGTTTGGTCTAGAAAAGGTCAGAAAATGGTGAGAAATGCAGATTTCTGTTTCCCAAAGCCCAAGATGACATCTTTTTCAGTTTACTGCCATAGAGGGTGAAAAAAAATCAAATTTAAGAAGCTGCCATCAGAGAATTTCTTTAAAAGAATGTTCAAACCGAAATAGTTGACAACTAATCGATTAACTGTTGCAGCTCTATTCTAGTCATTACTGAACAATGACAGTACTTTCTGGGGGACGGACACTTCTGTAAAAGAGAAATGCCATAAAAAGCATCTTACAGGGAAGAAAACAAATCAAGAGTTAAGAACAACGACGTGCTAAACATAGAGGGAGTGGAGAAGTACAACTTACGGCCGGGGAACTCAGAAAAAAAAAAAAGATAAGCAGAACATTAAATAGTATTAAACGCACGTCACAGAACACAACGCAGTTTAGTCTCAATAGGCACGTCTCGTCGTTAACGGTGTCAATTAGAGAGGCGGTTCTGTAGTGTTTCCCATTAACGTTGGGCTGGAGCTCTGCCATCTGGCTTGAGCTTCTCCACTGGCTGTGGAAATTAGAGGAAAAGTACAGTGCTTTCTCCTCTCCTATGCAAATTTAATAAGTACTCAGATTTAGCTCAGTGTTTCCTGAGCTGACTTGCGCTCGCTCCCCCCCCCCCCCCGGTGAGATAAGAAATCTTTCCAAAGCTCCCCGCTCAAATCTCTTATTCAGCAAAAAGCAGCACTCATCCCCGATAGAACAATCAACTCATTCAGCACAGCTGACTTTTATGGTAAATGTACACAGACAGTATATTAGATTATAATATATAAAAATCAGGGTACTTCAGACGCTACAGATCTATCAACACAAGAGCAGTCTCATCTCACATGGACAGACGGCCTTATTAGGCTTTTCTGGACAAAATTAATAAAAAAAATCACGACGATAAAATGATGCTCATGTTAGGTTGCATCACGACTATTTTCCGTCTACCTGCATGTCTGGCAAAGCAGATGTTTCCCGTAAAAACAATGTATTGTTATGATGAAAGCAGGATGACGGGCTGCACAAAGCCGTGCGGTCCTTAACAAATGCATCTTTGTGCGTCGGTCGGCCAACGAGCTTAAGAGCGGAGTTTCTGAGAAGCATGCTGACCGTCGGCAAAATAAGGAAGGACCTTTTAGCCCAAGGGGGAAGAAGGGGAACTTTTGAAGTCATGCAACATCAATATTTAACGGTTGACTGTTTGAGTATTTAGCGACACACATTTCTCTTGGAAGTATGAAGCTCTGTGTCAGTTTGTCTGCGCCGTCGCCTCTTCGTGGCTGCTCGTCATCACTGCGACTCCAAACCGAGGGGATTATGATGATTGCATTTAAATCCAAAGTGAAGCGTTGCGTCGGGGGGGGGGGGGATTGCAGTTTGTACCTTCTAATATCTTGGCTATCTCATCAAGGCCAGAATGACAAAAAACACTTTTCAGGCAACCAGAAAGCATGAGGCTTTGAATAAGCTTCTGCTGCCCGAGGATCCGGACTAGCCTGGGGTTTTCAACAGAGAGCACTTTAGAGACGCTCCATAATGGGGAAAAGAAAAAGAAAAAAAAAAAAAAAAAGAAAACTAAAAACGGGCATCTTTTGCCTCTTTAAATCATGGGCCCTTTTACACACGCATTGTTCCTTTAGAATCACACAATGAGCCACAACATCTAGGGCCTGAAACTGTGTTGTTCTGCTGCCACATGCAATTTACCATGTGTACCGTCACATGACGGTATGCAGTAGTGCTTTGGATTTTAGATTCTAGGAATTCCACTGACAGATGCATCTGGCAAGTAAGTGTATGACCATGTTAGGTATAAATGAAAGAGAACATACTGATCTCATGGGCAAAATTAAGATTTTGATCCTACAGAGGATGAAGTACTACGCATGAAGTAAACCTACAGCAGGGGGAAAAAATACCCAGCATTTCCTAATAATGAGTAATGCAGACAAGTCCTAACATTAAATCCTCAGATAGCTCTCACTTACCTTGAGGACCTCCCCACGCTTGAAACTAAGCTCATCGTCAGCCGTGGCTTTAAAATCGTATTTGGCGATGGCCTCCATGGTCGCAAGACGCGTGCTGGAGCACCGCTGTGGTTGCGTTTCGGGGAGGGGGGGGGGCTGAATAAAAAATAAAAACGCGTATCCCCGGCTTCTGTGGCCAGATGCTTTCCTCCGAGTCTCTCCTCCCGTCTGTGACCCGCTCCTTTAGGGCTTGGACCTCACATAAAGGTCACAGTAAGGTACCTGCAAACAAGAGACAACGTGGGACTCAATCAAATATAAAGAAAAACGTGACTAACATAAAACTAAATTAAGTTTTATGGCAAACAATAAATTTGGTTTAGTCTGATTTTTAAGAATATACAGAAACAGAACGTCTCCTTTATGTTGCAAGTTTACATATTACATATTTCTCACACTAATAAAATGTTTTTATAGCTGCTTCCCCGTTATCGTGAGACAGTTATTTTGTGGTCGGTGTGACACCATGACACAAATTATAGCACACAAGTAGCCTCTGCCCTACTGATGGTTATCTGGCATTCATGTTCCAGCTATGATTGCTCACTATATTTAATGGCAATTCCTAGAGACCATGTGACAGCCAACCCCCTGGTCCGATCGGAGATATGTCAGTAGCCCACTTAAGCAGAGCCGACAGTGATACACCGGCTCAACCTACAGTTGCAGAGTTAAATGGATAAAGTCACGTTATCTCATTAAGTTATTTGCTAATATGCCCCACCGTGCAGCTCTGATGGGTTCACGCTAATGGAAGCCCTGCACAGAGTAAGGCCGTTCATTCAATCACAGACAGCCAAAGCAAAGAGTAACAAACGTGTTGCAAATGATCCGAAAATGCAAATTTTGGGATTCAATCGCTTGTCTTTGTACGACCCATGTTGTCTCGTCACGAATAATCGGTGTATATGCGGGCTGCACAGTACAGCAGACACAGGACTCATTTTTCTAGGAGTCATTGGACGGTAACGGTAACTTTTAAGCCCACAAAATGTGCGGCCATTGTTTACAGCAACACAACTGTCACCCCCCCCCCCCCCCCGGTCACACTAGTGACAGCAGTAACGTTACTTAGGACGAAGTAACAGAGAAGGGAGGCTGAAGCCCAAAGCCTTCAACGACCCTCTTGAATCGACAGCCTTCTCGCGTTTCTTCACTGTCAATACTATGGCAGGTTTCAGTGTACACTAACGGACCATTCAGAGTATTAAACCGCGGGGTTTCTGTCATTTCGTTCACGCGAGTTCCGAGAGGATCGATTCCGTTCCAGCGAACAGCCAGAGCCCAGCGTTCTAGAACGCTAGAGCTAGCATGCCGGCTAACGGTCGGACAACAATAACTGCGCTGCGGGGTGATTAACCAAACTTATCTCCGTTAATGTGTCACAACGGGCGAGCCGACGAGGACGTTACTCATAACAAGTGTTCCGTTTAAAGGCTAGCAATGCGGTGTTTGTGGAAGCTCGAGGCCTACGCGCTAGCTTCTTGTGGCAAACGTGAGAAGGAAGAAAACACCTTTTTTTCCTAGTAGCGCGAGCTGTTGTTGCTAGCTTAGTGGCTGAGTTAGCTCACAGTTAGCACCGCTAACGTAACTGAACTTGATTAGCCTGCATCGTGAAAGGAAACAGCGCACAACTTTTAACGTGAAGAGAAAGCGTAAAGGGGAGAAACTCACCACCCGAGATATTCCGTTTTGATGCTGCCACCGTGACAAACAAAAACCTCTTTCGCGTAGTTATCCACTCCCTGCTTCCTCTTTGGAGGCAATGAACGATGTGTGTGAGATGTCGCTTACACCCAGTCCTCGGAGTCTGGAGCTACTAGCATACGGTTTGCGACGTTTATTTCCGCTTCCTTCCACAGCGCTGGGAGGGTCTGCTGTGTTGTGACTGGAGCTCCTCCCTGTCAGTCTGCTCCACTGGTCTGCCAAAGACACCACGTTACTGACATGCTGCCTACAACTGGCTTTAGTTATCTCATGTGATTGTTTTAAGTTGCCTAATAGGCATACTAATACTTATTATTAGTGTGTAGCTACTTTATGATATCTATCTGTCTACATTGTCTTTATTGTTTAATGTTATGCACCATCCACCATGTCAAATTCCTTGTATGTGGCACATACTCTGGCAAATGAACGGTTCTGATTCTGATCTATGATGATCTATCTATCCATCTATCTATCTATCTATTTATCTATTGATTGTTCTATCTATTTATCTATCTCTCTCTCTGTCTATTGATTGTTCTATCTATCTATCTATCTCTCTGTCTATTTATTGCTCTATCTATCTATCTCTCTGTCTATTGATTGTTCTATCTCTCTGTCTATTTATTGTTCTATCTATCTCTCTGTCTATTTATTGTTCTATCTATCTATCTCTCTGTCT